AAGTACTGTGACAGTGTTAAATCTCCTGAAACTAGTAACAATACTATAGTTATACATGAGAATAGTCTTCCTAGGAAACATATTCTGAAGTATTAACAAGTAAGGAGTACGATGAATGCAACTTGTTCTTAAATGCTTCAGAATAAATGTATGTTTAGACATTTAAATTTACATATATAGAGAGAATAATAAAGTGAAAGTGGCAAAATGTTAAAAATCGGTCAATCTAAGTCAAGGCTATATAAAAGTTCTTTGTATTATTTTTCCAACTGTATAAGTCTTGCAATTTTTAAAATAAATTTGAGATTACTTCAAAATAAATTTTAAAAGACAGTATTTCTTTACTCAGATGATTCAACAACAGAATATTCATCTGATAACTCCTTTTAATGTAATTAGCTCAAACTTTGATAGCAAAGTGGTTGCTCGGACATTAAAGATCCTGGATTTAAGTTTGAGTTGAACAAACTATACTATCTCATGGAATTTTCTCTGGAAGCTAGTGCTTCTCCTTTAAGACTTTCTGGGCTGAGTGCAATGGCTCACGCCTGTAATCCCAGCACTTTGGGAGGCTGAGGTGGGTGGATCACTTGAGGTCAAGAGGTCAAGAACAACCTAGCCAATATATAGCGAAACCCCATGTCTACTAAAAATACAAAAATTAGCCAGGCATGCTGGTACAGGCCTGTAGTCCCAGCTACTTGGGAGGCTGAGGCAGGAGAATCACTTGAACCCAGGAGGCGGAGGCTGCAGTGCACGCCAGCCTGGGTGACAGAGTGAGAGTCCATTTAAAATCTCCTCTGACAGACCTGGAGGCTTTTATGTTAAACTTCTCCAAAACACTTGGTAAATCTTATGAAAGGAAAAAAAAGGGAAAAGATTTTAATTTTCTTAGAATACAAATGGCTAGAAAGCAAAAACAATCTATACCTAAAAGCACTGTCTCTATATGTAAGAAAGCAACTATTATTGTTTATAAAAACGAACAGAATAAAATCATCTTATTTATTTCTAAATTACGTGAAAATCAAAAAGACTCTAATAATTAAACTATTTTCTCCTTTAAATATAGATATGCCTTAACTGGGTTTTACCACTCAGTCTCACAATGGGAATACTGTACAAGTTGTAAAAAATGAACTGAGTAAACAAAAGATTATCGCAAAACGACACATAACAAATATTACTTTTATGTAACAAAAAGTTACACAAAGTTTTAAAAATTACTTTAACCACATATATTAATAATATAAACATCTCCATAAAAAGAAACTTTGACCTTTTTTTTCAAGTTTATTAAAAATTGTTTTCCCTGTTCTTTGTCTTCCTGCTTCTCCACCTTTACTGGGGTATAACTAACAATTAAAAATTATAGGGTTGGGCATGGTTGATTATGCCCGTAATCCCAGCCCTTTGGGAGGCCAAGCGGGTGAGATCACTTGAGCCCAGGAGTTCAAAACCAGCAGGGGCAACATAGTGAGACCCTGCCTCAACAAAAAAATCTAAAAACTAGCCACACGTGGTGGCACATGCCTGTAGTCCCGGCTACTTGGGAGGCTGAGGTGAGAGTATCACTTGAGCCCAAGAGGCGTACACTTGCAGTGAGTGAAGATCACACCACTGCACTTCAGCCTGGGCCAGGGTGAGGCGCTACCTCCGAAAAAAAAAACTGCGTGTGGAGAGTGATATATAGATATATATATATGTAGTATGTGACACTTTGATATAAACTGTGAAATGATTACCACTATCAAGCTAATTAAAATAGCCATCACATCACACAGTTAGCTTTTTTTTCCTTTTGAGTCAGGGTCTCCATTGCCCAGGCTAGAGTGCAGTGGCCCTAATCACAGCTCACTGCAGCCTCAAACTTCTGAGTTCAAGCAGTCCTCCTGCCCCAGCCCCTCCAGAGTAGCTAGGACTAAAAGCATACTACAGGTGCATGCCAACATGCCCAGTTAATTGTGGTAAAAACATTTAATCTACTTACTTGGCAAATTTCAAGTATAAACTTTCTGAATTTATCAAGCTCTATACATTGAAATACCCTTAAACCACTTAACTGTCTTAATAACGCCTTTATTTCCAAAGTCTTTTCACTGCACTGCCCCACATGTTGCCTGGCCTATAGGAAACACTCAATCATGTATACTGCATGAACTGAAAAAAAGAGAACTTAAACTATTAACTAAATTAGTAGCTGACAAGGACCTAAATATATCTAGTCTCTTATTACTAAGATAATAATTAGGCCAGGGTTAACATAATCAATATGTATTATTTATTATGGCTACATTAATGATCACTGTAAGTCAGATACTATGAACATAAAGTTAGATAAGGTACAGTTCCTATCCTCAAGGAGCTCAGTCCTATATAAGGGACAGAGATGTAAACAAATAAAATGTAATCATGCTATAACAAATATATGTAAATAACTTAGGAAAGCAGAAACCACGTTTCTTGTTCACTACTAATACATGCTAGAACATAGCAGATACTCAATATTTCATGTTGGTCACTAAGTTGGTTTTAGAGAAAAATCAGAACAGGTTCACAGGAAAGAAGCTACTTGACCTAGGTCTTAAAGAAAATTGTAGTTCAGGCCAGGCGCAGTGGCTCATGCCTGTAATCCCAGCACTTTGGGAGGCCGAGGCAGGCGGACTGCTTGAGCTCAGGAGTTCAAGACCAGCCTAAGCAACATGGCAAAACCTTGTCTCTACAATAAAAATGTTTTTTAATTAGCCAGGCATGAGACAGAGTGAGACTCTGTCTCAAAAAAAAAAAAAAAAAGAAAATTGTAGTTCAGAAGACAGGTAATGAGGACACCACCTTAGAAGCAACTCCACCTTCTTTTTCTTCTTTTTGAGATGGAGTCTCACTCTGTCGCCGGGACTGTAGTGCAATGGCACGATCCTGGCTCACTGCAACCTCGGTGTTTCCCGTTCAAGCGATTCTACTGCCTCAGCCTCCCAAGTAGCTGGGACTACAGGCGCCCGCCACCACGCCCAGCTAATTTTTTGTATTTTCAGTAGAGGCAGGGTTTCACCGTGTAGTTTTAGTAGAGACGGGGTTTCACCATGTTGGCCAGGCTGGTCTCAAACTCATGACCTCGTGATTCACCTGCCTTGGCCTCCCAAAGTGCTGGGATTACAGGCATGAGCCACCACTCCCAGCCGCAACTCCACCTTCTGTATCCGCATGCTCTTTATTCAATTACAGCCAGCTGTCTTAAACTTCTGAAGATCACAGTAGATACTGTGGTGGTTTTAAAATGTATCCACAAAACTTGAGACTCCTTCCTCCAAAGGGTAGGACATAATTTCCTTCCCCTTTAACGTGAGACAGTTTTTAAAACTGCCTCCCTTCTAATAAATAAAATGTGACAAAATGACAGTGTCTGATGTTTAAGATTAGGACATAAGGAGATTGTGGTTTCCTCCTTGCACTCTCTCTGAAGGAGACCAGATGCCACACCAAAGGACACCCAAGCAGCACAAGTTCATGTGGACAGGAACAGAGAGCTTGTTGCAGGTAAAAGGCCTGAACTGTCAACAGCTGTGGATCCTTCAGCCCCAATCAAGGTTTCAGGCGATTGCAAATCGGAATCAACCAGCTAAGCCCTTCCCAGATTCCTTAATCACAGAAATGTAAGGTACAGAATAGTGGATAAGAGGACAAAAGGAAGAGAACTTTGTTTTATGTTTGTTTTGAAATGAGGAATAACTTGTCCAAGTTAATATGCTGAGAAAAGGGGACTGTGAAAAATTTGTGTATATAGATACACAGGATGTACTAACAGATACAAGCTCCCATTCTGTGCAAAGTGTTACAGTTAAAACAAAGATACCGTCCCGACTTCAAGCCTAGTAAAGGATACACAATAAATGAAAATATATTTTAGCATATAACAGATGAATATTATCAGGTACACAACTCTTGAGTATGTGACACGTCTAATATTAGCTAATGTTTACTGTTTCTTGTGTTTAAGTCATGTTTACCTGATTACTAATATTAATATTTCTCTTAATGGGACATAAAAGTGAAGGCCTTTGTAATCCAGACTTTTAGGGTAGTTCTAGCACCATCACAAAACTTCCAGCTAAAGTTTCAAATCTAAATTCTTAGGGACTGTTTTTCTTGCGCATAACCATGGCTACATAATTTTGTTCTCTCCCCTTCAACTTACACTGCAGAGAACTTACATTTAAAGGCCAACATCACTGGTGAAGATGAATTAACATCCTTCCCTTCTCTTCTTTGGTTATGTGGGAAATTGTCATGTTTCCTTTTCCTGAACCCTCCTGATCCTTATATAGAGAAGAAAAAAAGTTAGAGATCTTCCATCACCAACAGTTTGCAAAACAGAACATAGGCAAACGTCCTCCTTGCTTGAAAACCAGACACGCACAGGGCCCTCGCCTTAGAGGCTTTCTCCGCAGACTGACAGAGACGCTGCCCAGGCCTTTCCACGCAAACCATCCAAGCTTCCACCAACTAGTGCTATGATCTGGCATTACAGCAATTACTAAACTAGGATAAAATCACACCTCAAAGATTTAATTAAAAAGGAGGTGTAAACAGGGCCAATCTGGCCGGGGAGAGAACCAGAGCTGCCGCCCCCGAGTCTGCAAGGCACGAAGGCATCCTTCAAGAGTGAAAAGGGGAAAACTGCATAGAAAGAGTGGAGAACCTCCCCCTCTGGATAAATAACGCCCCGTGTTGTTGAGGACGCCACCTTCTTTGTTGCTCATGTCGTCACAGCCTACGGTGAGACGAGCGGAGACTGAAGGACCAGGAGCCAGAGGACTGCGCGAGGTACAGGCCGAGCTAGCCTGGGAAAACAGCCGGCGGAAGAACGCTCTGCAGCCCGGCGACTACAACGCAGTGGCCGGAAGTCTCCCGTCGCGTACTTCCGGCCTGCGTCCGGTGGGGGCGGAGGGAGGCCGCTGCTGCTGGCTCCGCGCCCCGCGTGGTCCAGGGACGCCCGCGACTGTGTATTATCGCGGCCGCCCTCTGCTATGCCTGAAGACAAAAACTACTCTACAGGACTCACAGCATGTACTATTAATAAAGAGACGATGCGTCCTCCTGGAACTGAGATCTGTGTGATCGTGGGAAAGCGACGTAAAAAAAAGTACGTAATTTTTTAATGAAGGGACCTTCGGGACACCTTACCCTTCCCTCAGCGGGGACCCAGCTTTCCGCGCGGTGCATCGTGGGGGTTGTAGTTCGTCCGCGGGAGCAGGCCCTCTGGTGCGCGGGGCTAGGGTTGTGAGAAAGAAGGGAGGTCTCCCTGGAGCTCCTCGGAGCGCGTGGGAACGTTTTTTTCAGGATCCAGGCAAAACCTTACAGAGCTAGGAGTTTTTTAACTTTCTATTCCTGGCAGTGAGGCCAGGAGCTTTAAGTGATGGAAATATGCGATTCGATCAGTGGATGGTGCTGGTACTGTTTTCAGGAAGATCAAGCCTGCCCTTCGGTCTTCCTCCTCCCCACTGGCTCTCAGGAGCCAGACAGCCTGTGTTCAGTTTGCCTCACGGAGTGGTTGTGTGACCTTGATAAAGCATGCAATTTCTCTGCCTCAGTTTCCTTATCTGTAAAACATAGGGATAGAATACCTGCCTTGTAGGGTTATTTGAGGATGAAAGGAGTTAAGGCTCACAAAGATGCTCTTTCACATATAACTGCTCAATTAAATATTAAATACCATACTCCTCTCCCACACAAACAAAATGAAAGAAAGGTAATAGCAGGTGTATTCCACTAAACTGTGGGTCTCTCATTATGGGCAGGTACTGCCATATCTAGACTTTGTTCCCACGCTAGCCCCAGTGCTTTTCAGTGCCGTGGTCTGGCCCCATGTAAGCCTCCGTCAACGTTTGAAGAATCACGTTCCTGGTGTGTCCAGAATTGGTGGGTACCCGGTCTTGATGACTTCAAGAATGAAGCCGCAGACCCTTGCAGTGAGCGTTAGGGTTCTTAAAGATGGTGTGTCTGGAGTTTGCTCCTTAAGATGTTCAGATGTGTTTGGAGCTTCTTCCTTCTGGTGGGTTCATGATCTCATTGACTTCAGGAGTGAAGCTGCTGACCTTGTTTCACAGTGTTACAGCTTATGAAGCAGCATGAATCCAAAAAGTAAGCAGCAGCAAGAGTTCATCCCAAAAAGAGAAAGAACAAAACTTCCACAATACAGAAGAGAACCCCACTCCCCGGGCAGCCTGCTTTTATTCCCTTATCTGACCCCACCCACATCCTGCTGATTGGTCCATTTTACAGAGAGCTGATTGGTCCATTTTGACAGTGCTGATTGGTCCATTTCAACAGTGCTGATTGGTCCATTTTGACAGAGTGCTGATTGGTGCATTTACAATCCTCTAGCTAGACAGAAAAGTTCTCCAAGTCCCCACTAGGTTAGTTAGATACAGAGTACCAATTGGTGTATTTACAAACCTTGAGCTAGACACAGGGTACTGATTGGTGTATTTACAAACCCTGAGCTAGATGCAGAGTGCTGATTGGTGTGTTTATGATCCCTCAGCTGGACATAAAAGTTCCCCAAGTCGCCACCAGCCCTGCTGATCCACCTCACCCAGTGGATCGTGCACCAGGGCTGCAGGCGGAGCTGCCCGCCAGTCTTGAGCAACACCTGTACTCCTCAGTCTTTGGGCACTCGATGGGGCTGGGCGCCATGGAGCAGGAGGTGGCGCCCATCGGGGAGGCTCGGGCCGCACGGGAGACCGCCGCGGAGGGGGAGCTTGGGCATGGCGGGCTGCAGGTCCTGAGCCCTGCCCTGCAGGGAGGCAGCTGAGGCCCGTTGAGAATTTGAGCGCAGTGCCCGGGGTGCTGGGAGACCAGGCACAACCTCCGCAGCTGCTGGTCTGGGTGCTAAGCCCCTCACTGTCCTGGGTCAGCGGCGCCTGCTGGCCGCTCCGCGGGCCAGCGAAGCCCGCGCCCACCAGAACTTCCGCTGGCCTGTGAGCAGCCCCGGTTCCTGCCGGAGCCTCTCCACATCTCCCGGCAAGCAGAGGGAGCCGGCTCCCGCCTCTGCCAGCCCAGAGAGGGGTTCCCACAGTGCAGTGGCAGGTTGATAGGGCTCTTCAAGCACCACCAGAGTGGATGCCGAGACCAAGAAGGTGCCAAGAGCGAGGGCTGCTAGCATGTTGTCACCTCTCACTGGCGTCAGGATGGGTAGCTAGGTGGCAATTCAGCACCGTCTAGAGAGAAACTTAGGCCAAGGCTTGGTAAGTGGGATGCCCTAGGCCTAGTAGAGAAAACACAAGTACATTTTAAGCTTTCTCTAAATAACCTTTATATTGTAGTCATGTGTTGTATACAGTCTTTTCTCCTTGTTAATTTAGGAACAAAGGAACAGTAAATGAAATAACTTGGCTAGAATATGGCAGTAACTACAAGGCAGGTTCTGCTCTGGCGGGAAGGTAACCACCGCTCATACCTCTGCAGCTCTGGGAATAAGTGAATTAACTAAGCAGATTCCTTGAGGATAAAGTAGGCTCCTGGGGACCTTGCTTGTTGGGCTACTTGCTTTGTGGATGTTGAACAAATAATTGTCATGAATTTGAGTGACGTCTCATCTACCAGTGTTCCCCCTACTCTGATTAGAAATGACTTGATCATGCCAAAAAGAAAAAAAGACAGCTCTGATACAAATCTAGCCATTTTAATATGACTCCCTCTAGATCCAAGGAAGCCAGTACTTATGAACATTTTCGGAGTCAATACTTACTTTACCGTACCATAATTGAAGGAAAGGGTATTTTTCCTAACTCTCCTGGAATAGCACATCCCAAGATCTCAACTTTCCAAAGCCTGGATCAACTGTATTTCTTTTATTTCTCCAGCCACTACTGCCCTAGCCTGTTCAACTACAGCTATGTTACCTGAACTGCTTTCCACTCTTTCCCGTAAATATGATGATTAGAACACTAAGTTTCATAACCTATAATGACTTCTGAAAGTATTTAAGGGAGGTGAATCCCGGGGGGTGAATCCCAGGAGCACTTTCCCAGCACTTCTTTGCATATGCATTTACCCCAGGCTTCCCCAGGTGTCCCAGCTTGTAGCTACTCCTTTGTCAGGAAATAGATTTCAATGTCTGTAACAGCCTGCATCCCTACCCTGTCTCCTTGTTTTATTGCTTCAGATGTAAACACATAGTTTTGGTACTTGGCAAAACAGTTTTTTGTTTGTTTTTTAAAGGAAGACTACCACCCCAAGTCAGGGAGAGGAAGGTAAAGATTTTTAGTAACATCTTATCTCTCATGTTGATTTTACTTGCTTTTTTTTTTTTTTTTTTTTTTTTTAAAAAAAAAAAAACAGTTTCACGCTGTCACCCAAGCTGCAGTCCACGGCTCACTCACTATAACCTCGACCTCCTCGGGCTCCAGTGATCCTCCCACCTCAGCCTCGCAGGTTGTTGGGACTACAGGCGCATGCTACTATGCATGGCTAATTTTTTTTTCTCTATTTTGTGGAGACAGGGTTTCGCCATATTGCCCAGGCTGGTCTCAAACTCCTGGGCTCAAGTGATCCACCTGCCTAGGCCTCCCAAAGTGCTTGGATTACAGTGAGCCACTGTGCCTGGCCTCCAGTTGCATTCTAATTGCCTATATTTGGCTCTGAATGAAGCTCTAAGCCTTTCAGTTGCATGGTTGTTATTCAGTTCATAAATCCTCTCATTTGTCACCATTAGATTAAGAGAAAAATCGCGTATCAAAACTGGTTTGGGAGGCCAAGGCAGGTGGATCATTTGAGGCCAGGAGTTCGAGAGCAGCCTGGCCAACATGGTGAAACACTCTCCTAAAAAATACAAAAATTATCTGGGTGTGGTGGCACGTGCCTGTAATCCCCAGAGGCTGAGGCAGGAGACTCACTAGAACCCAGAGGGTGGAGGTTGCAGTAAACCCAGATAGCGCCACTGACCTCCAGCCTGGGCCACACAGCAAGACTTCACCTCAAAAAAAAAAAAAAAATGGTTTTGGATATCGAAAGAAAATCATATAATCGAGTAAAGAGAAGAACATAATTAAGAGATTATCTGTTTCAGCATTTCCCTTATTTAGTTATTACATAAATAACCAAATCCTGGGGTAGAAGAGATCATGGGGAATTGTAAGAATCTGGAGTTCCTGTTTTTTAAAAGATAACCATAATATTTAAAAGATATCTATGGGATCCAGAGTGGTATTGTGAAGTGTACACATTACCTTTATGGTGAATAAATTCAAAGATTTATTTTTCAAGCAATGCTAGGATATAGTAGGAGAAAATGATGTTCCGGTTTTATAACACAAGAGAGAGAAGCTGATATTGAAGAAGAGTGATGGTAAAACCACAATGAGATATCACTTCAAATCCACTAGGATGACTATATTTAAAAAGAAGAGAGAAAATAATAATTGGTGAATATATGAAGAATTGGAACACTGATCAATTGCTGGTAGGAATGTAAAATGGTACAGTCACTATAGAAGACAATTTGGCAGTTCCTCAAAGAGTTGGACGTAGAATTACCATATGACCCAGCAATTCCACTGTTAACTATTTACCTTGAACACAAATGTTCATAGCAACACTACTCAACAATAACCAAAAAGTAGAAATAACCCAAATGTCTATCAGTAGATAAATGGATAAATAAAATGATATATCATTTGGCAATAAAAAGGAATGAAATACTATTGATGCTGCAACGTGGATGAAACTTGAAAACATTATGCAGAGTGAAAGGAGACAGTCACAAAAGACCACTTATTATATGATTCCATTTAATACAAAGTGTCCAAAATAGGCAAATCTGTAGATAGAAAGTAGATTCAACTAGTAGTTGCCTAGGGCTAGGGGTCATGGAACAGTGAGGTAGAAGGGTGATAGCTAAAGGATGTGGGGTTTCTTTGTGAGGAGATGGAAATGTTCTAAAATTGACTAGGGTGATGGTTTCACCTATTTGTGAATATACTAAAAATTATTGAATCAGTTAGTTTAAATGATGAGTTACATGTGAATTATATTTCAGTGAAGCTATTAGAACAAATTTTTTAAAGTGTTGGGAAACATTCCTTTCAAGTCTTGTAAATATATTGTAAATATATGTAAAGTTACTATATACATGTAAATATATAGATAATTCAATGTTATTAAGGAAAAGCATTAAACAATATGGCTTGTTTATTTTTATTTTTATTTATGTATTTATTTTGAGATGGAGTCTCGCTCTGTTGCCCAGGCTGGAGTGCAATGGTACCATCTTGGCTCACTGCAACCTCTGTTTCCCAGGTTCAAGCGATTCTTCTGCCTCAGCCTCCTGAGTAGCTGGGATTACAGGCGTGTGCCACCATGCCCAGCTACTTTTTTGTGTGTGTGTATTTTTAGTAGAGACGGCGTTTCACCATGTCGGTCAGGCTGGTCTCGAACTCCTGACCTTGTGATCCACCCACCTTGGCCTCCCAAAGTGCTGGAATTACAGTCATGAGCTACCGCGCCTGGCCAGCTTGTTTATTTTTAATACTCCATAATCAAAAAGTATGTAAGTACTTTATAGGTTTCACAATATTTCAACAAATATTTCTGTGCCTGGTTTATGCCTGACAATGTGATTGGTGCCATACAGGATGCAAACATTGACTATCTCTACTTCTCCCATTCTTCTTGATCTATCTCTAATCAGGCTTTCACCCCATCGCTTCTCAGAAACTGCTCTTGTCAAAATCTAGGGATTTTGCAATGACTTCCGCATTGCTAAATCTGATCGTCAATTCTTACTCCTCATCTCACTTGACCCTGAAGCAGCATTTAAAACAGCTGTCATTCCCTGTGTCTAGAAACCACATTCTCTTGACTGTCCTTCTATAATACCTCAGTAGCCACTTCTTCCCAGTCTTTTATGGTTTCTCTTCACTTCCCCAAACACTGAATTGCTCCAGAAGTCCTCCTCTCTTCTCTGTTACACTTATACTGCCTTGTTGATCCCATTCTTACGGTTTTAAATGCCATCTATAATCTGACAATTCCCCCACTTTATATCTTCAGTTCAGAGAACTCATATATCCAGTCCAAACTCATATCAAATTACCTATTTACTATATTCTCTCTCTTTTTTTTTTTTTTTTTTTTTTTTTTGAGACAGAGTCTCACTGTGTCGCCCAGGCTGGAGTGCAGTGGCGTGATCTCGGCTCACCTCCCAAGTTCACACCATTCTCCTGCCTCAGCCTCCTGAGTAGCTGGGACTACAGGTGCCCGCCACCACGCCTGGCTAATTTTTTTGTATTTTTTAGTAGAGACAAGGTTTCACCGTGTTAGCCAGGATGGTCTCGATCTCCTGACCTCGTGATCCACCCACCTTGGCCTCCCAAAGTGCTGGGATTACAGGTGTGAGCCACCGCGCCTGGCCTACTATATTCTCTTGAGTGTCTAACATGCTTCTCAAAATTAACATGTCTAAAACTGAACATAACCATCTTCCAATACCTACTTCTTCAGCAGTGTTCCCTATTTCAGTTAATTTCTATTCTTCCAGCAAATCGGACTAAACACTAGAGTCATCTTTGACTCCTCTCTTTCCTATTCCATATCCTATTTTCTATGGACTGAATTGTGACCACCCTCCCCCGCAAATTCATGTTGAAACCTAACCCTTAGTGCGACTATATTTGGAGACAGGGCTTTTAGGAGATAAGTAAGGTTAAGTGAGGTCATAAGAGTGGTGTTTTGATCCATTAGGATTGGATTGGTGGCCTTATAAGAAAAGTTCTCTTTCTCTGTCCATGCACCAAGGAAAGGTTTGATCCATTAGGATTGGTGGCCTCATAAGAAAAGATCTCTTTCTCTTTCCATACACCAAGGAAAGGCTATTTGAAGACAGAGCAAGAAGGTGGTTATCTACAAGCCAGGAAGAGAGTCCTCACCAAAACACAACCATGCTGGTACCCTGATCTTCAACTTCTAGTCTTGAGCTGTTGAGAAAATAAACTTTTATTGTTTAAGCCACCCAGTCTATGGTATTTTGTTATGGCAGCCTGAACAAACTAAGATACTTTTTATTACCAAAATCCTTTTGGATCTACCTTAAAAACGTATTCATGTTACAACCAGTCTCCCCAAATTCTGTTAGTACCTTAACTCAAGTTACTATCATCTCTCACTTGAAATAGAGCAATAGCCTCCTAACTATATACAAATGTCAATCCTCCTCATTGAGATGCAGTCCATTTCCTCCCTTGAAACTGGGCTGGCCTTTTGACTTGCTTTGACCAATAGAATTTGAAGAAATGATTCTGAGCCAGTTCCAGGCCTAGCCCTTAAGGAGACTTGACACTTTCTACTTTAGCTCTCTTGGAACTTTGAGCCACCACATGAGGAGTCTGATTACCCATTCGCAAGTGAAGCCTAAACAGCCCCTGTTCCTTCCAGACAACCCACCTGAGGCACCAGACACATGAGTGAAGCCATCTTGGACATCCCAGTCACAGCCAAACTCACTCCTGAATGCATCTGCATGATGAACCCAGCAATCCCCACCATGGAGCAAAGGATCCATCTAGCCAACCCAAAGAATCATGAAAATAATAAATTGTTTTAAAGTTCTTCGGTTTGGGGATGGCTTGTTATGCAATAATACATAATTGATACACTGGTCTCCCACTTTCAAGTTTGATTAACTTTCAGCTATTTTTCCACATAGCAGGCAGAGTGATTCCATTAAAACATACATCAGATAATGTCACTACACTAAGTAAACTCTACAAGGACTCTCATCTCCCTCAGAGTAAAGGTCACAGTTGTTACAAGGCCCTACGTAATGTGGCCCTCACCACCACTCCATTACCTTTTTCTTATCTACTATTTGCTAACTTTGCTTTGTCGTCTTTTCTGTTCTGAAACAGGCTAGGCATGGTCCTGCCTCAAGGCCTTTGCACCATCTACTCTGTCTGCGTGGATTGTTCTTCCCACAGATTTCTTGCTCCCTTCTTCCTTATGAAGAAATGTCATGAAATGTCCTTCCTTCATGAAATGTCACCTTCTCATTGAGGCCTTCTGTAGTACCCCAAATAATGGCCCCCAAAGATGTCCACATCCTTATCCCCAGAACCTGTGAATGTGTTATCTTAATGGCAAAAGTGACTTTGCAAATATGATTATATTTAAGGATCTTAAGGTGGAGATTATCCTGGATTATCCAGGAGGGCCCAATGTAATCACAAGGCTCCTTACAAGTGAAAGGGGTAGGCAAGAGAGAGAAGGAGATGTCATAATGAAAACAGATCCAAGTGATGAGATTGCTGGCTGGGGTGGAGGTGGAGGGGGGTACAATCCAAGGAATGCAAGAAGCCTCTAAAAGCTAGGAAATGTCAGGACACAGATTCTCCCCTAGAACCTCAGGAAGAAACCCAGGTTTACGGACACCGATTTTAACCCAGTAAATCCCTTTTCTGGCTGCTGACCTCCAAAACTGTAAGATAATAAATTTGTGTTACTTTAAGCCAACTGAGTTTGTGATAATTTGTTATGGCAGCAATAGAAAACTAGCACACCTTCCTAGCCATCCTATCTAAAATGGCAACCCACATCCTTCCTGGCACTTCCTATCTGCCTTCCATGTTTTCTTTTAAATCATATATACAGTATATTTTACTATTTTACTTACTGCCTTTTCCACCAGAAAGTAAACTCCATGTAGATAGGGATTTGTCTGTTTTTCTCTTTGCAATACTCCACTGCCTAGGATAGCATCTGTACATACTGCACACTCAGTACACATTTGTCAAATGAGGCCGGGTGTGGTGGTTCACACCCATAATCCCAGCACTTTGGGAGGTCAAGGCAGGTAGATCACCTGAGGTTAGAAGTTCGAGACCATCCTGGCCAACATGGTGAGACCACGTCTCTACTAAAAATACAAAAATTAGTTGGGCATGGTGGAATGTGCCTGTAATCCTAGCTACTTGGGAGACTGTGGCAGGTAAATCACTTGAACCTGGGAGGCGGAGGTTGCAGTGAGCCAAGATTGTGCCACTCCACTCCAGCCTGGGCAACAGAGTGAGACTCTGGTTCAAAAAAAAAAAGAAAAAAACCCCACATATTTGTTGAAAGAACAAATGAATAAATGATATGCAAATATATTATCCCTATCTGTACCTTGCCTTTTAATTTTATTATAGTAACTTTGGTTGAAAGGAAGTTTTAAAATTTTTAATATAATCAAATGTATCAGTCTTTTCAACTTGTATATTTTATGCCTTGTTTTTTTGTTTGTTTGTTTGTTTGTTTGTTTGTTTTTTGAGACAGGGTCTCGCTCTGTTGCCCAGGATGGAGTGCAGTGGCATGATCTTGGCTCACTGCAAGCTTCGCCTCCAGGGTTCACGCCATTCTCCTGCCACAGCCTCCCGAGTAGCTGGGACTACAGGCACCCGCCACCACACCTGGCTAATTTTTGTATTTTTAGTAGAGACGGGCTTTCACCGTGTTAGACAGGATGGTCTCGATCTCCTGACTTCATGATCCGCCCGCCTTGGCCTCCCAAAGTGCTGGGATTACAGGCGTGAGCCACCACGCCCGGCCAATTTTATGCCTTATTTAATCAACTCTGTCTTATATCAAAATTATAATAGTATTACCCTGTATTTTCTCATAAAACTTTTAAATCTTTTCTTTTTCCACTTAGATCACGAATCCACTTGGAACTGGTGTTATATACTGGTAAATGATTGTCCCAGGACCACATATTGAATATTTTATCATTTCTTCACTGATTTGTAACAACAGAGTGGTTATATATGCTGTTTATACATGGGTCTGTCTCTAGGTTTCCCGTTCTGTTCCAGTGGTCTGTTTGCTTACCCTTCTACGAACAACACAGTGGCCTAATTACTATAACTTTATAATATGGCTCAATCTCTGGAAAGTCACATACCCCCCCCTCCTCGTTCTACAATATTCTTATATTTTGCAACTGGCCTTTACTGTTTTATATTAGTTTTAACGATACCATATATGCCCACATATATTAGATGCTCTTAGCATCACTATTTATAGCATCTAAAAATTGGAAATTATTTAAATGTCCACCAAAACATTAAGTAAATTAGGTTATACTCACACAGTGGAATACAATACTGGTTTTCAAAAGAATGAGGTAAATTTACATATTTACATTAAAAGGTATTCAAGATATCTCATCAGAAAAAAGGGCAAGTTGCAACACAATATTTAGAGTAAGGAGCTATTCATAATTTTTTTTAATTGTAATTTGGGTTACATGTAGAAAAAAATATGGGCAAGAATACATCAAAATGTTAACAGTGGTTATATCTGGGGATCAGGAATAGGAAGAACATTCACTTTCTAAGGTATGTATTCCTATAATTCTTGGATATGACAGTAACCAAGTATTACTTTTACAATAGAATGTATAGGTTTTAACTTTAGTTAAAGCAAATATATCTGTTTTTTTTTTTTTTTTTTTTTGAGACGGAGTCTCGCTCTGTCGCCCAGGCTGGAGTGCAGTGGTGTGATCTCAGCTCACTGCAAGCTCCGCCTCTCAGGTTCACGCCATTCTCCTGCCTCAGCCTCCTGAGTAGCTGGGACTACAGGCACCCACCACCACGCCCGGCTAATTTTTTGTATTTTTTAGTAGAGATGGGGTTTCACTGTATTAGCCAGGATGGTCTTGATCTCCTGACCTTGTGATCCACCTGCCTCAGCCTCCCAAAGTGCTGGGATTACAGGCGTGAGCCACCGCGCCTGGCCGCAATATATCTTAATGTTAAATGTGTATTTTTCTGATGATAAAATTATGAGAAATGTTATTTTCATTTTTGTTTTCCAAATTGTTTACAATAAGTATACATTATAAAGGTGGAAGCATTATTTAGAAAAATATTAACAATGTTTTTTAATATTGGGGTATGGTGATTTTTTTCCTTCCTCTCTCTAGAGCTCGAGTTTTCCATGACAAGTGTATTGCTTAATATGCAATTCTGCTTAGCATCCCTTCCTTGAATGAATCACCCCTTCATACTCTCCTGGTAAATTGCCCTTCAGTAGTCCTGGTGTGACTGCAATTTGAAGGATCTTCACCATTCCAAGCATAGGCTTTCCTGGTGAAGAAGTGATGGAACAGGGAAGAAGAGCATTCATGAAGTAACACTGACCTGAGACCCTCATTTGTCCCTTTAGGGCTCTTCAAACCACTAACCCAGTGGTTCTCAGCAAAAGGTGATTTTCCTCTCAGAAGATGTTTGGCAATGTCTGGGGACCTTTTTAGTGTCACAACTGGGGAGTGGGAATAGGGTTGCTACTAATATCTAGTGAATAAAAGCCAAGGATACATTTTACAATGCACAGGACAACCTCCCACACACAACAAAGAATTTTTCAATCCAAACTGTCGATAGCGTAGCAGCTATGAAACTAAGAAACCCTGTGCAGGGCAGTGGGGGCTTCACAGCAGGCAGACACCTGCTAACCGACCTTGGCTACCAAAAGGAAAGGAAACAGGATCACTGTTTCACAATAGAAGCTGGGAGAAGTACAGCTGGATCACAAGAGATCCCCAGGGGTCCTTTGTTGTATACGTGGTGAAAATTATCAGCTGACTATAGCAACCCATCACAGGCAGAACCACTAAGGATTCAAGCCCCCAAGAAATAAAGGTGTGCATTGCCCCATCAAGCAAAGAACTTCAACCAGCTTTAGTGTGAGCCAGAGATAGGCAAAACATGGAATAGGTGGTAGGAGAGGAAAATATCAGTTATAGCCTCAAGATCAGCTGTACAAAGAAGAACTATAGGCTCTACCTCTATTTCTTTGCCTGCTGCATCTTACATTAACATTTTTTTTCCTTTTCTTTACCGTGCAATTGTATCTGTGGTATAATGGTGGTGGTTGTATTTGCTGTTTGTCCATAACTATGGAGAAAATATTGACTGTGAACTAGGGTAGAAATAAACTAAAAGGATCTTGAACTCAGGGAACAGTGGTTTGTGGTATCATTTGTGGTATTTTTATTTCTGTTTCCATTGAGTGGTATAAAAATTCCTTTCAAAAGAGGAATTTTCCAAGAAATTGAACCTCTCCAGGTGCCCAAGAACAGATATCACAAACTTTGGATTGAAAAGAAGACAAAAAGAAAAAGATATCTGCATGTAGGTAACTGATAGACACAGAGAATTAAGGACCTCACTGATGACTTTCATACAATTTTTTAAATGCTAAGGTAGGAGGATGTTAGCCTTTAAGGAAATTAGCAATGAGGAATGGACTTTACTTCATAAATTTGTTTTGCCATTTTTGGGGGAGAGGGGAAGCTAACAACTGCATTTTCAGAATATTCTCTATGTATAAAGTCACATGAATAGATTTCAAGAGTTGTGGTTGGGTAAACAGCATCTTCCTCTTTTCAAAATTACTTTTTCCATTTAGATCAGTTCAAATCCCTGAATAAATTCCTTTTCTGATAAACTAGTTAGAAAGGAGTGCATAGTTGCAATGAAAAACTGTTAATTGGTATAGAAAGTGTTATGAAGAAGAGTTTCAGGGCAAAGATCCTCAAGGAAGTGATTATCGCGCTTAGTTGGATCTGAAGA